AAAATCACAAAATTGCAAAAAATCCCACTAAAATCGCCCAAAAAATGACCCAAAATCCTTCTGGAGATGTTCCTGCTGACCATCAGGGTGGACAACACCAGAGTGACCAGTCAGTGGTCAGCAGATCCCAAAATTGCAAAAATTCCCACCAAAATCGCCCAAAAAATGACCCAAAAACCCTCCAGGACATGTTCCTCCTGACCCTAGGGGTGGACGACACCAGAGTGACCGCTCGGTGGTGGACAACGGCAGAGTGACCACTTGGTGGTCAGCAGATCCCAAAATTGCAAAAATTCCCACCAAAATCGCCCAGAAAATGACCCAAAAACCCTCCAGGAGATGTTCCTGCTGACCATGAGGTGGACAATGGCAGAGTGACCACTCAGTGGTCAGAAGATCCCAAAATACCAAAAATTCCCACCAAAATCGCCCAAAAAATGACCCAAAATCTTTCTGGAAAGGTTCCTGCTGACCATCAGGGTGGATGACACCAGAGTGACCGCTCGGTGGTGGACAACGGCAGAGTGACCACTTGGTGGTCAGCAGATCCCAAAATTGTAAAAATTCCCACTAAAATCGCCCAAAAAGTGACCCAAAAAACCCTCCAGGAGAGGTTCCTGCTGACCCTGGGGGTGGACGACACCAGAGTGACCACTCAGTGGTGGACAATGGCAGAGTGACCACTTGGTGGTCAGAAGATCCCAAAATACCAAAAATTCCCACTAAAATCGCCCAAAAAGTGACCCAAAAACCCTCCAGGAGATGTTCCTGCTGACCATGAGGTGGACAACGCCAGAGTGACCACTCAGTGGTCAGTAGACACCAAAAAAATCACAAATTTGCAAAAATTCCCACCAAAATCGCCCAAAAAATGACCCAAAACCCTCCAGGAGATGTTCCTCCTGACCCTAGAGGTGGACAACACCAGAGTGACCACTCGGTGGTGGACAATGGCAGAGTGACCACTCAGTGGTCAGAAGATCCCAAAATACCAAAAATTCCCACTAAAATCGCCCAAAAAGTGACCCAAAAACCCTCCAGGAGAGGTTCCTGCTGACCATGAGGTGGACAACGCCAGAGTGACCGCTCGGTGGTCAGTAGACACCAAAAAATCACAAAATTGCAAAAAATCCCACTAAAATCGCCCAAAAAATGACCCAAAATCCTTCTGGAGATGTTCCTGCTGACCATCAGGGTGGACAATACCAGAGTGACCACTCGGTGGTCAGAAGATCCCAAAAATTCCCACCAAAAATGACCCAAAAAGGGCCAAAATTCCCAAAAAATTCCGCTGGCGTAGAGAAAAAAATACGGAAAAAATTGCAAAAAAAAATTCACCAAAAATCCCCAAAAAAAGCTCAAAAATTGCCAAAAAATGATGGAAAAATTGCCCAAAAAATTATTGAAAAATTCCCCCAAAATTGCCAGAAAATGAGCGAAATATTCCCAAAAATTGCAAAAAAAAATTTCCAAAAATTCTCAAAAAATTGCCAAAAAATAATTCAAAAATTCCCCCAAAATTACCAAAAAGTTATTGAAAAATTGCCCAAAAATTGCCCAAAAATTATTGAAAAATTCCCCCAAAATTATAGAAAAATTTCCCAAAAATTGCCAAAAAATAATTTAAAAATTCCCCCAAAATTATAAAAAAAATTTCCCAAAAATTGCCAAAAAATAATAAAAAAATTCCCAAAAATTGCTCCTAAAATAGAAAGAAAGCTATGAAATAATTTGTAAAAAAATCACCCAAAAATCCCCCAAAAAACGCAAAAAAAGCAGCTCAAAAAATGCCAAAAATTCCCCAAAAATTGTGGAAAAATTCCCCAAAAATTGCAAAAAAATTATGGAAAAATTCCCCAAAAATTGCCAAAAAATTATGGAAAAATTGCCCAAAATTGCAAAAAATTATCAAAAAATTCCCCAAAAATTCCTGAAAAAATTTCAAAAAATTTCCCAAAAAATTCCCAAAAATATCCCCCGGAAAAATGATGGAAATTTTTGTAAAAAATACCAAAAAAAATCACCAAAAAAACACCAAAAATACAAAAAAAACCCAAAAACTCCTAAAAAACTCCCAAAAGATGATGGAAAAATTAGTAAAAACTCACAAAAAAAAAATCTTCAAAAATGGCCAAAAAAGCCCCAAAATTCACCCCAAAAATGCAAAAAAAATTCCAAAAAATACAAAAAAATTCCTGGAAAATTTCCTATTAAAAAATTGATTTAAAAATTGGCAAAAAAATCACAAAAAATGGAAAGTTTTGGAATTTTTTTCTATGAAAAATGGAAAAATCTGGACTTTTTCCCATTAAAAGGAAGAAAAAAATTCCCATTTTTTTTCCATGAAAAATGAGAAAATTCTGGAATTTTTTTCCATGAAAAATCAGAAAAATCCTGGAATTTTTTCCATGAAAACCACTGAAAAATCCCCAAAAATATCCCAAAAAATTCTTTAAAAATTCCTAAAAATTTCCCCTCAACAAATTACAGAAGAATTTGCAAAAAATCTGAAATAAAACCCCCCAAAAAAATTTTAATCCCCAAAAATTGCCAAAAAAACTCCAAAAAATCCCCAAATTTAAAAAAAAAAAAAATTACTTAAAATTCCCCATAAATTCAAAAAAATCTTGAAAAAAAATAAAAAAAAAATGCCCAAAAAAAAAAAAAAAAAATTTAAAAAAAAAAAAAAAAAAAAAAAAAAAAAAAAAAGGAAAAATTGTAGAAAATCCAAAAATAATTCCAAAAATTGCCAAAAATATAAAAAAAGAAAATCACAAAAATACCTCGAAAAATCACTGAAAATGACCCAAAAAATTCCCCAAAAATTCCCCAAATTCCCAGAAATTTCCCTCTTAAAAATGATGGAAAAATTTGCAAAAAATCTCCAGAAAAATCACAAAAAATTACAAAAAAACTCACTAAAAATGACCAAAAACCCCAAAATTTCACCCAAATCTGCCCAAAAACTGCCAAAAAATCCCCAAAAAAATCCACTTAAAAATTATGGAAAAACTTGGAAAAAATATTTTTAAATTATCAAAAAAACTCCAAAAAAATTGCAAAAAGTCACAAAAAACACCCAAAATTTCACCCAAATTTTCCCAAAAAATTCCCCTGAAAAAATGACTTAAAAATTCGGAAGAAAAAAAAACCAAATGAACAAACAAACAAAAAAAACCTCCAAAAAAATCAGAAAAAAATCCCCTCAAAAATTCCAAAAAAATCCCAAAAAATCCCAAATTTTCCCAAAAATCCCAGAAAAAAATTCCCAAAAACATTCCCCTGAAAAAAATGATGGAAAAATTCGGAAAAAAATAAAAAATGTATTAAAAAAAGCCCAAAAAATCACCAAAAATTCCAAAAAATTTCCCCAAAGTTCCCAAGTTTCTCCAAAAATCCCCGAAAAAAAGTTCCCAAAAAACAATTGAAAAATCGGGAAAAAAATCCCAAAAAATAAAAAAAAAAAATCCAAAAAGACCTCCAATAAATTGCAAAAAATCACAAGAAGACCCCAAAATTTCACCCGCAACCTCTCCAAAAATTCCCCAAAAATTCCCAAATTTCCCCAAAAATCCCCCCAAAAAATTCCCGAAAAATGATGGAAAAATTGGGGAAAAAATAAACAAAAAAAAATCCCAAAAAACCACCAAAAAACCCTCAAAAATTCCCAACTTTTCCCCAAAATCCCCAAAAACAAAATCCCAAAAAATGATGGAAAAATGATGGAAAAATTCGGAAAAAATGTCAAAAAAATCACCAAAAAACCCCCAGAAAATTGCAAAAAATCACAAAAAACCCAAAATTTCACCTGAAACCTCTCCAAAAAATTCCAAAAAATTCCCAAATTTTCCCAAAAATCCCCGAAAATAATTCCCAAAAAATAATGGAGAAATTGGAAAAAAATTCAAAAAAAAACCTCAAAAAACCAAAAAATCCCAAAAAACCCCCAAAAAATCATAAAAAAAGCCGTCAAAAATTCCCAAAAAATTCCGAAAAAATTCCCCAAATTCCCCAAAAATCCCCGATAAAAGTTTCCAAAAAACGATGGAAAAATTCAGTAAAAATCTCAAAAAATCACCAAAAAACCCCAAAAAATCGCAAAAAATCACAAAAAGACCATAAAATGTCACCCGAAACCTGTCCAAAAATCACCAAAAAAATCCCAAAAATCCCCAAAAAAATCCCAAAAATCCCCGGGATAAAATTCCTAAAAAACATCCATTAAAAACGCCAAAAAAAATCAGAAAAAAATCAAAAAAATCCAAAAAAACCCCAAAAAATCACCTAAAACCCCCCCAAAACCGCCCCTAAACCTCTCCGAAAATTCCGAATTTTTTCCCGAAAATTCCCAAATTTCCCGAAATCCCGGGAATTCGCCCCAAACGGGATCCCACCTGTTGAGGTGCGCGATGACGTACTTGAAGACCTCGTAGTTCTCGCGGGGGAAGCGCCGCAGGACCTCGCGCAGCGCCAGCAGCTTCTGCTCCCGGTCGCTGATCTCTGGGCATTTTGGGGA